AGGACTCGAACCTTAAAGATGGAAGGTCCCACAGTAAAAATGGGGCCTCTATCAACTAAAGCTTATTGAAAGACCAACAACAAATGGTATTGGTTTATTGGAAACAGATCACAGGAGAGAGAACACAAGCGGTTGCATGTCACTAAAGGCTTTCCAAAATGTGTGTGCTGGAGTTATCACATGAAACAGTGTCTTTGTTTTTTTTTTGTTTTTTTTTACAAGAACTGTACAGCGTAAGTGAGAAAAGTAAAGTTATCGCTCATCCTCTGTGTCCCTTGAGTCCGTGAGACAGCTGTGACAGATTCCAAACATGAAGCAGTGCTCGCTTGCTTTCCCGAGATTAATCTCAGAGAGTGAGGGCCGGCACCCTGCCACCAACATCGTTGCTAATAAAAACAATATTTCAACTCTTACTCTCTCTCTCCTTTTTCTCCCTCTCTCTTCTATCTCCTTCAACTCTGCATGGCAAACATACACACCATACACACACCAGAACATGAACGTCGCTAATTAATTCCTGCTCCGTTTGCTGCACAGCTGTCCGTGCTCGTGGTACAAGTGGCTAACAGGTTCTCATTTCAAAGAGCGGCACTGAACGCATTCCGTTTGCCTCTTTCACTAGGGCCTGTCATCAAAGACACTTAGTAATGTGCCTCATACATTTACACATTGGGGAATGGTTTAAATTTGGGGGCTTACTGATAAAAGGGATTTCATTGCAGATAACGACTTTATGATGAGATGTGACGCGCTTCAACAGTCGTTCTATCAAGTGCCTTACCTAATGAGAACCATAAGACTGTGGTTCAGAACTGTAATCACCATTGCTCCAGCCAATCAGGTCTACATACACACATGCGCACTCACAAACGCACACACACAGAGGTTACTACTAAACCACAGAACCAGCTGCTGCCTTACTATATGTCCAAAAGTTTGCAGACACCTGATTATGTATAGTTTCTTATGAAATCAAAGGTATTAATAGGGAGCTTGTCTCCCTTTGCTTTAGTAACAGCCTTGATTCATCTGGGAAGGCTTTACACTAGAACACTGAATTTGACTGCATTCAGCCACAATAGTATTTGTGAGGTCAAGTACTAATATTGACTGATTAGTTCTGGATCACAAACTAATCCCAAATGTATTTGATGGAACTCCATAGAACGTAATTCCACTGTTACAATGCTCAGGAGCTTTATACCACCCTAGACAATGCTTGGCAATAGGCATGGTGATCTTAATGTGCGGCTGTGCCAGAGCTTCCCATTGTATTGGCAGCTGTGTACTGTGTGCAACTGAAAGCCTGTGTCAGTAATGCCATGCACCTTAAAGTAGATGAAGTAGATGAAAAATAGTAATTCATTAATTATGTTAAGTATTTGGACATAGGGACTGCAGTGCAAAAAAAGGGGCCAAGCCCAGAATATGATGTTTTTTTAATAATAGTTTTGGCCTGGTCTGGCAGTGTCCAGATTTAAACCCTACAGAAAATATTTAATTCACAATAAATACTAGCTTGGCAACGTTTTTCAACTGTTTGAAGCCATCAATGCTGAGTGGAACAATACTGATTCTTTTTTCTGCAAAAGGTTGTCTGAAACTTTACATTTAAATAAATCAAAAATAAAGAAAGAAAAGAAACAAATGTATAATACTCAATATATGCACACATATGACCACCTCACAGCAAATATATTCTGTACTTAAGTACAAGGTAACTAAAAAACATTGTGCTCTGAATGGACAGCTTGCAAGGACCACCAAGGCTATTGATAGATAAAGTAAAAACACACTTTTGTTAACAACTAGGCTTATAGATAGCCAGCTAAACAGGTTAAAAGATGGCTAACAGGCTAAACCATTGCTCCATTAATATTATTTCTCATAATGACAAATTATTTGTTGGAATTTTCTGTATGTTATCCTATTTTATGTTGTCACCATTTTGCAAAAGCATCACCTAAGATGGTGTATTTTAGTGATTTTACCATGAGTAAAGCGATAAAATCACAGTAACACATGGCAATCTCTTTTCAGTCTCTTCTTCACTGTATGCTGACAGCATGGTCTGGAAGTGGAGCGGAATAACATTCACCACGAACACATGCCACACATGCACCCAGGCCCAGTGCAGCACACATGCAGATGGCAGCCTGCAGCAAGACTAAGGTCCTGTTAACACTGTGACCTTTAGCTAAGCCCTACAGCAGGCCTGATGTAACCACTGGTGCTAAAGCACAGCAGGGCTTGGCAGTGTGTGTGTGTGTGTGTGTGTGTGTGTGTGTGTGTGTGTGTGTGTGTCATAGGTCCTTTGTGTGAGAAAGACAGCTTTGGGGCCTTGCACCTTCTACATATGCACACACAAACACACACACATGGCTGCAGCAGCCATAAAGGCAACTCATGGGTCTTTGTCTGGCTGGACCCATATTGACATGGGCTGATGGATGTTAATTGCAGGACAGAATGGCAGTATTGAACAGGCTTCAGAAAACGCCTGCAGAGCTGGACCCAGAAAGGAGATAGATAGAGAGAGAGAGAAAGAAGGAGAGAGAGAGACAGAGAGAGAGAGAGACAGAGACAGAGACAGAGACAGCCAAACGTACAGCCAACATAGACTCAACAACTGACACCTTTCACACCAGAGCAAGCCATCTCAAACAAAGACAATACTGGTGTGTGTGTGTGTGAGAGAGAGAGAGAGCGACAGAGAGAGAGAGAGAGAGAGAGAGAGAGAGAGAGAGATGGGAAAGAAGAAATAGAGAAAGTGTGTGTGTGCGTGTAAAATGTCTCAGCCAAAGATCAATAGCCCGAAGCTGCAAAAGCAAAGACATGGGCAATCAATACTCTGGCCACAAGCAGTGTGAAAAGGCCAAAGGAAGGAGAGGAAAAAAAGATAGGAGGAGGAATTAAAGAGACAGAGCAGAAAGCAGGAAAGAAAGAATGAATGAGAAACAGAATGGGGTCAAACGAAGCTGTTTGACTAAAACGTTTATTGGGAAGGCACAAGAAGTACACCAGATGTGTGCTTGAACTTCTGAACCAAGTTATTGAATTTAGACTCAAGTAGGTTCTAAATTAGCTGGTATCATACTATAATGCATTAGTAAAGACTCCCCAGAGCTTGCTAAGGGAAAACAGGAGCATCATTTGAAAGGTGTCTGACATCAAATGAAAAATTAAATACTTCATAAATCATTGGTTGTTGAGATTTTTTCTTAGCGGACTTCTTAGAACGTGTGAGTCTAGAATCCTCGGTGCTAGAATGTAATGGTTAGATATAGTGAATGTCACGATATTGTATTACAGTCACACCTATAGTCACACACTTGAAAGCTTACAAAATTTCCATTTTTTTCTATATAATTCATTAGTTGGATTGAAAACAAAGATATTCATTCAATATAATCATCTATAATGCAAATATAGACAATTTCTTTGCAATCCAGAACAGCCAGTGAACACATCTTCTGTGTTGTAATGCTGACAGTAGTAAAAGTGTTCAATCTGAAAAAAATGTTTTTGCCTTAAAATGCCCTGTATGTAGTTCTTCACCATGCATGTCTTTTCAATATATGTTTTAAGCAAAAACTTTATGATAAACTACAATAAAACAATACATGAAGCAACAGGCACTGTATTTGTAACATTTTCATGTGATTACTTTCTGTGATGTAGCATTTAGAGGCATTTCAGACGTTGCTGTGAATCATTCTGACTGTGTACATTTCTCTAGAATGGCACATTTCTGATCAAATCACTCTTGATGACTTTGTTTACATCTTAATAGTTAAATTATGCAGAATGTTTTAGAAACAGGTTCTATAGGCACTGTGCAAATCAGGAGATATTAACCATCTCTTACATTTTTTTTAACTGGCCCTGCAGTTATTGAGGATGGTCAACTGTTTCTCCCATAGTGGTGCCCCCTAGTGGGGACTTCAGGGCAGTAATAGAGCATAGTGGACACCTAGAGCTTGCCTGATGGATGCTGAAAAGACGGCGGGGCTCTGGTCCCTAAATGTCAGGTGAGTTTATATTGGACTTGTTTTGCCACGTTTCTTTCTCTCTGCCCTCTCCTCCTTTCTCTCTTCCTCTAACAAACAACTTTCCTTCCAATACCAGATTCTTTATAAGGTGGAAGAGGTCAGAAAGGAGCAGCCAGGTCACAATGGGGAGAGCTAAACATCAATGGATCAGACAATAGCCGAGACCATGTGAATATGCCTGTGAGGGTGGAGAATGCCGGTGAGCTGACCTGTTAGTCCATTTCATTGACTAACTACTGCCCCTGATGGACCACTATTAATAACTCTCTTTCTGACAGACACAAACACAAAAATCTCTCTTTCTGACAAACACACACAAATACAAAGCCATGTGTGTAAGTGCATGCGTATGTGCAAGTGTGAGAGAGACAGAAGGAAGGGGGGTTTGCGGAGAGAGGGAGGGAAAGAGGGAGAGTGTTGGCTTGGCTGACCGTCTGCGGTTCTGTCGCGGTAAGGGGTGTGTGTGTGTGTGTTGGGTTAAAGCGGGCGTAGCTGCCGAATTCCCTGAGAAATGTTCCTTTTGGATCGGACCCTATGCTTACATACCTCCCTCTCTCGCTTTCAAACGAGCCGTCTCCATTCTCCTCTCTTAAACTTCTAACATTCGCGAAGCGGGGAGTCGAAGCAGATTCACTTTGAGCAGCCCTGCAGTGAAGGAAGCCCACTGTCCACACAGGCTTTGGGTTCTGAAGAGTAGTGGTGTGTGTATCACCTTAACGAAAAGGCAGAGCTCCCAAGAGCCTCACATCGTCGCCCTGGTACTGAGAGCGTAGAGAGAAACACGGGGAGTCCCGGGGGGGGGAGGGGGGTAGTCAGTGTCCCACCGGCAGAGTGATCGCGTTTGGATTAAATAAATGCGAGTTAAGGCAGGGAGCAAGAGAGAGAAAAGGGGGGGGTGGGGAAGGAGAGTGGATTGATCTGCCGCTTCTTGTTCTGTGTGTGTGTGTCCTGAAGTAAGATTTGTGCTCTCGCCTCCTCATCAGCGCGCGCACAGAGAGGCAGGGCTGCAGGGGGAAGGCTCCACTCACAGAGTGCGCGCGGAGGACGACCTGATCTGCTCTCCTCTCTTGTTTTGTGCTCTTTTTCCCCGTCGTTTTCGTCTGTCCGTGAATGAAAGGGGAAGGAGAACAGAAGGTGGCTCGGTGTGGCGCTCTGGACGCATGGACAGGCACCTAAACCGTACGCGCGTAACTGAAAAGAGAGAGAGAGAGAAGAGGAGAAGAGAATCTCTGAAGAAGAAAGGGGAGGATTTTCTCTTTCGATCTGAAGCCCTCGCTTTCTGCAGCTGCGCTAGACTTTAGCTCGTTGTGTAAAGAAGGAGGGACCTGCAAACTTTGTTCATTAAAAAAAGCACATTAATAATAAATCAAAAGCTCGGATTGCGGTTTTTCCCTCCACTTTTAAACATTTTTGCGCTGATGTCATCGCGCTGGCTTGTTGGCCGCTGTCGCGCCGGAGCTGCAGGGGAAGCGCGGTGAACGCCGGGAAATCAGGTGCAAGGGAACCGCAGGGTGGCCGGTGATCCACTGGGTCACAGCTGCCCCTCCTCCTCCGCCTTATACCCCAGCTCCTCCTCACCTTGGACCGCTTTCCTGACCTCCACCGGACTCTCCTGTCCCTCACCCGCGGCCATGCTCGCGCCCGTCGTCCTCCTTTCCTCCCTAGGGAATACAGGGAGAATACAGCAGCACCCTTAACTGGACCTCGGACAGCCAGCCTTACATGGGACAACACCTAGAGGACGCACAGCTCCAAAAACAGACTAAAAAGAGAGCGAACACACCGTGCTTGGATTATACTTGGCTCGAAAGAGGGTCAAGTTTTATGCCTCCCCTTTTCTCTCTGGAGGAGCCTTAAACAAGACAGCCAGATTAACATGGGACAACGCTTGGAGGACGCGTGGCTGTAAAGTCACAGCTCCAAGGAGACACTCAACAGAGAGCGACCACACCGTGCTTGGAGTAGGCTAAAAAGGTCATTATTTTGTCCACACAACTTCTGGCCGATCCTCCCACCCACTGCAGCCAAACTTGGCTCTCGATTTGGCCGGAGGTAGCGCGGAGCTGTTGGGTCTCTTCGGGGCTTGAACTCCGCTTCACCTGTTCCTCACTCCCTGGAGAGCACAGCTGTTATGCCCTAATACAAACCTCCCCACTACCCCACCCCTTCTCTCCTATTCCCACCTCTCCTCCTCTCCTCTTCTTCCTCGCGCTCCCGCTGCCCCGCCCCAACCCGTTTACCGAGCGCAGCCGCCGTCCCGTCGCTGCCGGTGGCACACACTGCATCGCGCACTCCTCGATCCTTCAACTCACCAGCACACACGCACAGACACACACCTCCTCCTTCTACAGAGGAGGCTATGCGCGCCGCCGGCCACCGGCGGGAGCCTCCGCTGACCTCGTGACCTCGTGGCTGTCCCGTCCCGTTCAGCCGTCGGATCGGCACGTGACCCGAAAGCTGGGGAAGCTGCGCTGAACCCTCCTTTTCCCAAAAAGGCGCACGGATCGACCGGGACGCAGAGGCACGGAGCGATGTGGTCCTTTCTCTCCACGCTGGCTGTCTTGTAAGTCATTAACGCTGCGAGTCATTACCTAATGCTGAATGGCTGTAAATGCGTGTTAAACACGAATCGTTTCCTAAGCTGTAATACTTCAAATATTTACTCTGCATGAGAGAAAGAGAGAAAAAAAGCAGCAGTTATGTGGAATTGCCCGTTTGCTACACGCTTCACTTGACGTGACTAACTGTAAGTCTTGCATACATAATGATGAGGTGACATCACCTCCTCTGGGTTACCATGGTCACGCATGTCAATCAAACGTGTGGCTCAGGTAAGAATGGCTGTCCAATGAAAACAAACTCCAGCAATGTGCCCAGTTGTCCGCTCCAGAAGTGTACATGCAGGGTCTCTTTATTTTTCCTTTCCTTTTTGTCAAACTCTCTTCCTTTTGCACATGGCGGTCATCTTGAGGTGGTTATCATTCCTTACCCTAACCTGTAGAAGGGACGGTGAAGGAAACGCTGGCGACCTGCTCCACCCAGGACTTTCATTACAGGCCTGGGCAGACAGGGAACAGCCGTCTGCCCTTTGATTCTCTCCCTCTATCCGGAGCCCCCAAATTATCTAATAATGTTCAAGGATGTCTGAGCTAACATGGAGCTGGCACCTTATCTGCTGTCTGGGTAAAGAGAGAGCCAGCGAGACACTGGGCGAGAGCAGCAGACGTCTAGTGGAGCTCTCCAGCAGGAAACGGCTGCCACATACAACACATCTCAGCTCAAACTGGCTTCTAGGATTCTCAGCCAGTTGTACAGAATTAGCTGATTTTCTGGAACACATACTGAGCTCATCCTTAATAGATTAAGGGTAGATTAAGTTGGGCAGGGTTTTATTGTGATTGTGTATGTGCACATCTATTCAGAGCACAAGTGCACAATGCTAATGTGCACTGTTTGTGCTTCTTATGTAAACCAGTGATTCTCCAACCTGGTCCAGGAGAACCACTGCCTTGCATTGTTCATTTTTTTCCAAACCCAGTTCAACTCATGAAAGGACTGTTGATGAGTTGAATCAGGTGTGGAAAATATGCAGGGCAGGGGTTACTCCGCAACCAGTATTGAGAATCACTGGTCGGAACCATACTCACCTTGCCACATGTGCATCACCCAAGCCCTATTCTACACAGACTGAGAGAGGTGCAATAGGATCCATCCATTTCAATTTAACTCTAATATTTCATCACTCTTGTCTCTTGCGTGTGCAATCCAGAACCGACTTTCCTTCAAGCCCTTGGCCTAGGACTGCCTCGCAGATGTGAAAGGTGTACTGTGTAATGTGGCAGTAACACTACATTGCAAGCTGATTAGCTGGCTTGCAAGGCTGCCATACCGCTTTGACCGAGACAGTCAGTTAAAATTTGTGTGAGGAGGGGTGGAAGAGAATGAACTGTGCTTGAAGGGTGCAGAGGGAAGAGTGTTAGGGGTGATTTGGGATAGAACTCCACCTCATGGAGCTTGACTCCACACACAAACGCCTTTAGGACAAATCCTGTCTCAGGTCTGATGATGTCACACCGCCTTGCTTGTCTTGGCTCCTGACCACAGAACACTGTAGAGTAAGAGCTCCCAGCTACTCTTTCTCTCTTCTCTTCCCTCCCTCTCCTCTTTTCCCCTTTCTCTCTCTCTCTGGCTGACTGTAGGCTTAATGTGGTTTGGGAGGGATAGGGAGAATCCGAACTTCCAGCCGAAAGGGTTTTTTTTTCCCTCTTCTTCTTTTTTTATCGTTCTCCTTCTTTCAGCGTAACAGAGTTGTTTGAACAGCTGAGAATTCTTACCAAGCTCAGAGCCGTTTTCACCTGCGCTGCCAGTGCTGGCAGGTACATGAAGCATATATACACCACAGCAGGCAGCCAGTGCTCATACGTCTCCAAGTAGTGCACATAAATATGGAGATAGCATGCATGAATGCACTTATAATTTGGATAACACCCCATACGTAGTGGCCAGCATTAATTCTGTATAAAACATACAGTATAATGCTTACCAACTGCACACTGTAAAGACAGCACATGTGTGCAATTGAACAATACGTGTATTTCTATTAGGCATACACTCTGGGTGCTAATGAAGAGTTACCCTTAAGCATGCATGCATGAGAATGCATTACAGACATGGTAGCAATGAACAAGCGTATATGGAAGTGTATAATGTATCTACATTATCTATAGATTTCCCTAGCTAGGGATACAGGAGGTGTTCAACATTTCAATAAACAAAGATACATGGCGGAAGGTATGCTGCAACAATAGATACATTTAAATGTAAGCAGTCTTTTCAGATGACTTCATGGGGCATATATATAGGGAAGAGCAGGGCACAACCTAACACTGTGTAAAATGTATATTTTATATATTTAAAGTATGTGCTTTAGCTTCTTCTTATGTTCCCAAAACAACAACATCTGCAAATTTTGACAGCAATTGGACAGATATTTCTCAAGATTCACTGTGAAGACAGTTTGTACAAATAGAATTTTTCATCATATGTGTTCTTTTATTGTGAATGTAAGTCACAGAAATCACACCTATATATTTTAATCACCTCTTAGTGCTTCTTGGCAACAGCAAAGTTCTAAGCATGTACTGTACACGTGTACTGAATTAAGTGTGTTTGCATTGATTTATCAGATGTTTTAGTGACTGTTACAACTAGCCCCTCTGTCAGTTACAATTAACCCTGTCTACAGGGTAAGCTGTAGCAATTGCATTCACACTGCTTTTGGCTGAATTTGTCCACGAACGATAGTACTGTAGTTCAGCATACAGTATGCACATTTTGTCTAACAGCGTAGTCTGCCTAGATCGTAAATTCCTATTCTCATGTAATGCATGCCAGCAGTAAGTAACAGTTGCCCAGACAGCATGAATCAATGCACAAGCAGTATGCATACATGAGAAGACAGCACTGATTGATTCATGGCTTGTATGTTCAGGTGTGTGCGTGGTATTGTAAACCACCCCGTTGTTCTGCACAGGTGTAGGAATGGCCAGCATATGCAAGCGGTACCTTCAAGCACCTGGCTGACACACTTCACTACCCATGTAGTCTATGTCTACAGGTGTAGAATGGGCACACACAGGTGCAAGTAAACCGCGGACACGCAAGCAATCTGTCAGCAAATACCGCTGCTCGCCCCATATGCACTGATCCCAAGCTAACGCATTCTCAGTGTGCAAACATATTGAACCAGTCTGCTCGGATATAAACGAACTGTGCACAGCTATATAGCCAGAAGGTGTTCGTTGTAGGCCAGTTTGCTGAGGGAAAGACGGCCAGTGGGGAAGTACAGAGACGACCACCCTGCAAAAAGGAAGATAGCCAATAAGATATACAGAGACATACAGTCCATGCTGTTCAACTCCATTGGCAGCTTCCAGTTATACATGGCCAATGAAGGTATTCCCAGAGACACAGTCAGAGAGCAAACACACATTGGGCCAGCATGGGACCGCGTGAGGACAGGATGAATCAGCTAGGTTTGTTATGGAAAGAGACGAGGTCAGTTCATTCAGACGATTTTCCAGCAGCACCATTCAAACATCTTAAGCATCTGTCTCCCTCTCTCCTGCTCCCCCACTTTGACTTCCTCTCCCTAATGCAGCTTTGCATCCAGCTCTGTCTCTCTCTCTCTCTCTCTCTCTCTCTCTCTCTCTCTCTCTTTGTAGGGGAGTCCCAAGGTGCAATTTCAGAAAAAAATATGTAAAAGAGACAGAAAGATAATGTAAGAAAACGAGAAAGGGAAAGAGAGATAAACAGAACAGACAGGAAGTAGTATTAGTTTCAATGAAGAATGAAGTTTGTTGAAAGATCTGGTCATGGAAAGAGCGCTGAAGCACACACAAGGTGTTTGCATCGACAGTTGTTATGTTTATGTGTGTAGTTATAGTTAGATTGTCTAATAGGTATTCTACTATAAAATTACACAGTTACATACATTAGGGTGGATAATGTTAGCTGTGTCACTATGTCTGTGTAAAGTGCTTCATTGCCGTAAGAGATACGAAAAGCTTGGATAATCCTCGGTTTCTAGTAGTGGAAACGTGGAGATCAGCTACAGTTGCTAGGAATTGTCAAAACAAAAAGTCAACTATTTACAAGTAGTCTCAGAAAAAAACATGTAAAAAGAACTAAAAAGGTCTGCTTTTACAAATGGAATTATCTTCACGTTTGGAGTATTTATGTATTTGTTCCAAATAAATTTCAGACCAAACAGGGTTCTCTTCTTGGTCAGATGGAACCATTTAAAGTTAAATTGAATAATGATCCATTTTTAAAACTACAGCTCATTAGAAGTAGTGTGGTTGGTACAGAGACACTGGATATAGTAAGGAAGATATTCTAATAAGCTGGTTCTGGTCACGGGATGGTGTGTGTTTGAAGGAAAGGGACAGCCTCAGGCTACGTGCTGGAAAAGTTGGGTCTAGGCCTGTCACAATTATTACATAATCGTCTGATCACAATTATTTGAGCTGATGGCAATTTTTTAAACTGACCACAATTACATTCCATAGTTGTCAGCTTTCAAAATATGTTTACACTTCAACAAACAGAATGTGATCTGGTTGCATTCTGAGGAAAATGCATATAAATAAAAGAAAGAAGAAAGCACATTCACAAGTCTCACGAAAACAAAATTTTCACTTCTGACTGCTGTAACACCTTTAGAGGGTAGCAGTGAGAAATGTTGGTTTAATTTAGCTTGAGCTGTGTCTGTCATTAGTTGGGAGCTACTAAGTAATAAGACCTAGGAAACAAGACAGGTAATGAACCAATTTGGTCAGGTCAGGCTTGCACTAAATATTCACACCCAATGAACAAAAAAAAGACAATTAAAATTGTTATTGTTAATCGCAATTACTTACATCTAGTCTCTGCGTATGTTATAGCTAACCTTCTCATATGGGGTATGCTGTAACATTTGCTTTTGGCTGAATTATTGCGAAACTGCAGGTGCGGGAAACTAAGTTTATGTTTTCATTTGTAGCATACATATGTATTGCTTGT